AACATATTTAAGTGTGTAATATCTTATTAAATCATTAAAGAAGAACATAATGTATTACTTTTCACGTCATTTAATTTATGTACAAATGAACGCAATAGACTTTATTCAATAGTTTTATCAAACAGCTCATTATCAAAAACCATATTCTAATGAGGTAGGTATATGAGGAATATTATTGTATCAACTGAGGAGCACCTTACTTTTTACAATTTTTGAGCCATGAAAAAAAAAGTATTAGAAAATATAATTTTACAGTAAAATTTAAATATAGAGATACTATGTAGATGCTTAGTTGTTACATTTTCTGATGTAGCATCGCAAGAAAACGAAGCGAATAATATTACTTATCCTATAAACATAATTCTCAAAATAAATTCACATATTATAGCATATTGTTGTTAAGCCATCACACGTGTGTAAACATGTTATTATCCTGACGTGTAAACATTACATATTATGCTACCATATATTATTGTTATTAACTACCTACAAATAAGTTAATACTGGTGTACGATATACAGCTAGTGTTAATAGGTTCGTGGTAAACGAAATAGCTTAAAATTAGTAAAATATTTTAAACATTTCATTGTGCAGAGAAAATAAGAATAAACGTCTTAACATCGAAACGTTTTCAGTCTCTAAGTTTGGTATTTTTTTATTTAACAACACAATACCTAACTAAAATAGTAATTTTAAGTTGAAATTTCCAATTTTATTCGAAATTTCTACGAAAAACACAACATTTTGACTTTGTATTTTAGCTCAATGTACTTTGAACTTTAAAAGCACCAACTACAGATCCGATCTGTTATCACAGGTCATCTTAAAGTTAAAGACGGAAATAATTTTACTCCTCAAAGAGGTATAGTGTATAAAAAAAAAATTTGCTCTCTCCACTCAGAATCTAAAAATATGATTTATTAAAAATATTTTATTGGATTGTTTATTTCACAATATTCGCATACAGTACCTATATTATAATTTATTGGTCGTGAAATAGTTTCGTGTACAAACTAGATATTTTTTAGCAACTATGACATGTGATATGTAAAATAATATGAATATCTGCCACATAATGTGTATGTCTTAAATCACTGACCGGTATCTGAAAGCTGTGACCTAACGAACAGAATTCGTGATACGAAATTGGATGAGATCGAATTGACTTAAAACACAATATTTTAATGAATCGGTTGGTTTACTGTTTGGAAACTACAATGTAAGTTCGTGCTTCGTATTGCTTACCACTAAGTTCTGGGCATCCATTTTGCGAGCGTGCCGACGTAACGTCATCTCGAGACAAGCGGACAGATGTGGACTGTGGTGACGTGCAGCTAGCTAGTGCAAGACTATTGAAAATTGATGGTAGGGCAGGGGGTGAAACAATAACAATGTGAACAACAACAACAACAACAACAACAACTACAACACCAACAACAACGAATACGACTACGGTGACATCAACAAATACAACCGAATACCGATGGACTTCGCTTACGCCTTTGTATAGTGTTTTGTGGGTGGAGGGTTGTGTCTTGCGTGCGCTTCAGGGAGAGACACACGGTGGGGAATTGTGGTAGTCCGACCAACGCCGGATGATCCCCCACCGTTTTAGTTCACTCCCTCCAACCACCACCAGCCCTCTCACTGGCTCACCCACTCTCTCTCTCTCTCTCCTCCTATTCATCCATCTGTACTATACCAATTTCTCTATCTGTAATTCTCTATAATTTGTATATGAACTAGGGTGTGTGTGTGTGTGTGTGTACATTTATAAATTCCATCCCCGGGCATGTTATGTAACTGCTATTAAATTTGCATAGCGTTCAAAAACACGTATAGACGGTGCATACGCCGAGGGGGAGAGAAAAAACAAATGTTGACCTAAAATTAAGCTCGTGTTCGTTTCGGTATATGATGTGTAAACGGTTGCCAAAAACCGTATACGAATGGACTCCAAGAACTCGACTGCCGCTCTCGTGTATCTTAATATTATAACACATCTACGAAAGCATAACAACAGTAAACTACTCTTTGTCGGCCTGTTATGTTTATTGATGAATCTCAATTATTCGTACACTGCTTGTATTAGCTATAATAATATCATGTAATATTATTTTATTTGAGCTCGCTTGCCTCTACTGGGAAATCCATCATCTACGGTTCACAATGATTATATAACCTAACATATTCGCACGATAATGTAAATTATTCCTTCTAAAAATTATTTCTGTAGAATTTACTTCTGCAACTAATATAACTATATTAGACATATTGATAATTCACAATATTAATACGAGGTTTATATAAAATATGTTATAATATTTATAATATAAAACTATACACGTTGCATAATTTCTTGTTTCTAAAAATACATTTTGATCAACATGTTCTTCTATATTTACCTGATCTTTGAATAGATTAGTTATTATTTTTATACCCTAAGACAGTATTTAATTTAAGATTGTTTTTCAAAACAGTATTCAAAGCGATTTTTTCAACAGTCACCCCAAATTATCTTGAAGGAAGTAGATACGTATTATAAAATATACTTTTCTGTTTTCATGAACTTTGTGAAAATGTACAACTTATTTTAACACTAAAATTGTTTACTTTTTTACTAGGTGTATCTAAAATTGGTACCAATACTCAAATACATTAAATTACATTATTTTAATAAATTGTATCGTTTATATCTCCTTTATTTAATACCCAATAACCTGTTTGAGGGAAGTAATTATTTCAAAACGTGTACAAGTGGGTACCACTGTAAGCATACACAGTGATTGAAGTGGGAGGTGGAATACGGTGGGGTGGCATCCCTCCACTTTGTATAATTCATATTTTCCATCCCTCAACTTATTTTGTACGACTGTTTAAGCAATATATGAGAATTATACAAATTATGAAAGGCATTCCTCCATTTATTTTGAGCCACTTCGACCACTGAACATAAATATTAATGTATGTATAATGTATATGAGTAAATTAGGTGTTGAATGGGTAACTAAAACGGACGGGTTAAATTTTAATTTTAGTGATGAATCATTGTGCAATATGAAAAACGATTCTGAATGGAGGAGACAGTCCGCCAGTCTATTATCACTCAGAATATTTCATATAGGTTTTTTGATGTTGCTATTAAATTTATTTCCTATTAGTAATAAAATAGGTAAATTGATTTTTTTTAAAACATTTTATATTATTAGTATTTTATTATTAATTGATAGCTATTGATTCAATGCCAAATTACCATAGAACAATTCAAATGTATAGGTTCAGAGAATACATAGGGAATAGCTTAAAATTATTCTAAATATTTTTAAAATGTCATTTCGTAGGTATAATAAAATATATTATAATATACGTAAATGTTTTATGTCTTTTTTTGAATGACAACAAAATAACTATCATCGTTATTCTTCGTTTAAATATTTATTTTCGTCGAAATTTGAACTAAAGATACCTACAGAAAATTGTGTCTATATATTTTGAATATTTTGAAATAGATGTTATCAAAATTATAAGAAACCTTAGATACATTTGTTTCATTAATTGAAAAAACTTAAAATAGCTCTAAAAAAAATATTTACATCAAAATACTTTTTAAATTGTATCATGTATAGAAAATTACATTTTTTCAACCAAATATTTAAAGTATCTAAAGTTATTTGTTTAGAGTTCTACCAACAAAAAAAATTTTTCTAAATAATTTTGAAAAGCACTTAAAGTACTTTTGGAACCCCTTCAACAACCTCCAAAAAAAAAAAAAATAGTATTAACTAGATCCAATTTGGTACCAGAAACTACGCTCAAAGTTAAAGAGTTGAGGAATTTACTACCCAAAATAGCGAGGACGGAAACGAAATAAAAATCCCACATTGTAAAATCAATTCATTCATATTCTCAGAATCTAAATAAATTGAAAATACTCTTGACAACAGGCAACAGCTATTTACATACTAAACGTCGATATTTAATTATTTATAAAAAATGATTATGATTCTTAATATACCTACTATAGTAAAGGCATTACCAATTTAATTAAAAATAGTAAATAAATTATTCTAATCATATTTACAGAAAAATAGTAAATCATCATAAATGCCAACATCAAAATTCATAAAAAAGTGTTACACATTTTTTACTATACATTAACTTATGAAAGTTAATAGTTTCTCTAACAATAATAATATAAGGGTAATATTATAGAATGTTAGAATATTTTCCTTAAATTTATAAAGGGCAATTTCGAATAAATCTCATACTTTTTTAAAACTACGAGTGTTTACATTACATAAATCTCTTTATACATTACATTCTTACTTTGTATAAAACCAAATCAGTTTAGTTGATAACATTTCACTAATATTCGTTTTATTAGATATGATTATAATAATAACACACTACTACTAATAATAATAATATGATAAAAATTATATAAACGTTTGATAAAAGTTAAATTAAAAATTATTGTGATTGAACAACATGGTTTTTTCAATTGCATACGTCAAACTAAAAAATAACAGTAATATATCAAATATATTCAATGACATGATTCTGTTTTATGTTTCTAAAAAATGTACAATGCATGTCAATAAAATACAATAACTAAACTATACGAAATATACTTTATAAAATATTCATGCTGTTATTCTGTTACATCGTTTTACGTGTGTCAAACATTAAACCTAACCACGCAGTCCGATATTTTGCCTACGATAAGTAAATATTTTAGTTATGATGAGTTTGTACTTTGTATAATAATATGATATCGCTACTATGTACTAAATCAATTCGAGGGTGGCATAATACCAACTGCCGAATATTAAATGTTTGTACACCGTATGAGAACACAAAAGTATAGTTATAATTGTAAAGTTATATTAATTATGAAAAGTGATATTATAAATATAATTTTATTTAATTAAATAAAAATGAAATATGATAAAACATTGTACACATACTATTATACGGTATTTTTATTTGTTTGCTTACAGGTGTCTTGGGTGAGACGGATAGACTATACAATTTTAACAATAGGGACGAGAAGTTATAGCAGCGACAAAAGGTTTTACGTAGACCACACCAGACATTTAAAGGTGAACCATATATAATTTTAATTTTAGTTTAGCAAAGCTCACAATATATTATTCTTGAAGTTAAATAAAAAATAATTGTACAAAATATTATTCTCCAATTACTGCTAAGACAAAATACAATTATAAGATTTGTTTCCTAAATTATATAAACTATATATGACATAGGTGTATAATATTATATTACAATATACGAAACTGTATGGTGAAGTGAAAATGAACCTTTATAACTCAATGACTAAAACTAACACTATAATTCAGTATAAAATGTCGGAGCCATGCGTGGCTAACATCGTTGGGTATATTAGTGAATAAATTATTTCACAAGCATAAATACACGTCCATGACTTTACAGGTACTTGGTTTTTTCCCGTCATTTTGGAACATTTTAACATTTTCTAGACACCAGTATAAATTGTGAACAATTTCCCGGTACAATTAAAGATAAAGCACTTTTACAATCAACACCCCGAATAGCAGTAAATATGTCAATACACGTAGAGAACTAATAGCGCCCACCCCACTTTGGCTCTTTGACAATAGAACTAAAGCCAAATGAGGGAGAAAAAAGGATTAAACGAATCAGTCTAAGTAATCAGTAAGAATAATGACAATAGCGCCATTAGAGACTTTAATAAAGTGCAGACTCCACCTTTTGGAGAAAAAAAAATGTTTAAACTTTATTGTTGAATAGTTTTGTATATAATAGGTAGGTAATTATTATGTTTAGTAATGGTAACTAAATATTGAGGCACCTATATTATAACACATGGTGATCTATTTAATGTAAAACAACAAATATTTCAAAAACTATTGACGTTTTTGAAAATGTTTTTTTTGTTATATAGTTATTATTCATTCAAAACAGAATATTTCTAAAAAAATATAGTTTTACTATTTTTTAATTTGTTTAATGACAACATGCATTTTTAATTTCTTATTCCAACCAGAATATTTAAATGGAGTTCTTCAATAAGTACAAATTGGATTTTTGGACGAATAATTTCTGAGTTATAAGTATTTTATGTTTAAATGAGTGGAGTGAAGTGCTGCAGGGTTACCCCGTAAAATTTTAAACTACCACTCCGCACATCTAAACTTTGAATACGTCTTATAACTAATAAATTACCTGTCTGAAATTTGATCATTAGTTTTTGGAAATATTTGGAATAATATTGTGCTTCGGAATATGAAATTAAAAGTGTATGTCATCATTTAAAAGTTTAAAAGAAAGACTTTAAAACGGTAACGATTTTTCAATAGATATTGTAGTGTAATGACTTAAAATTATGTAAGGAGATATTTTCAAAAATGTTAAAGTTTTCTGAAACAATAATTGTTTTACTTTAAATGGATCACCCGTATAGTTTCAACAAACGAATATCAATTGATTAACATTTTTAATATTAGTTTTACAATATAACAGAAATAAATATAAATGTTCAATAAAAATTCACTGTATAAACTGCAGAATATCTTAAAAACACTATGGTGTTTAAAGTCTTATACAAAATTATAATTTTGCTATCATAGTTTAATAATAATTTATTGCGAATACATTAAATTGTATGATAAATATCAGTTATAACATTCGTAAATACGAACTTTAAGAATATAAAACAAGAGCATTTCCATTGAATTTTTTTACCTTAAAAACATGTTTTAAATTGTTGTTTAACTCATATTTAATGTGCTTATACTCATTTGTACGTAATTCGTAATACTAATTCAGTATGACCGACCCCAGGTAAAATTTCACTAGATGTCAGATCGACATTTTTATAATATATTAGTTTATTATTCTATACATACACATTATAGTTAATATGGAATACCAATTATTAATAAATTACAATTAGTTTAATTACAATTACTAATTACAATCAGACATACGGTTTAAAAAAAATCAGGGTGGCAATCAGTGTTGATAATAGATAACTAATAATTTATCCAGATAAAGATAAAGATAACAGTACTAAATTTTATCTAGATAAAGATAAAGATAAAAATGAATAAATATTTATTTAGATAAATATCAGATAATTTCATGTTTAATTTTTACTATCAAAATAGTAAGTATTCCAGTATTCTTATTGGAATACCTGATATGATAATACATTTTACCAAACATTGATTTCCCGTGTAATAAGTATACGGTATACAGAAAATTACGTAAATATAAATAACATAATAATTTTTTTTGGAAGTCCACAAATAAATTATCTAGATGTGTACTCATAGATAACTAAAATTCTATCTAGATAAAGATTAATATCTTCTTCTTCTTCTTAACAGCTTAGCGGACCATGCAGGTCCATCGCTGCCACCATTATTTCATTCCATCGGGCCTTATTATTCGCATCTTCCATTTTTACGTTATCCTGGATCATTTTTAGATCTTTTACTATTACATCCTTCCATCTTGTTCGGGGTCTTCCTACAGGTCTTTTCCCCACAATTCTTCCTTCTGTAACTCGTTTTATAATTTTTCCCTCTGCCCTCCAAACATGTCCAGCCCATTCTATCCTCTTGCTTCTGCTATATGATAATATATTTGGTCTTCCATATAAATTCTGTAGGTCATTGTTATGTCTTCTTTCGTATGTTCTCGTTTCTATATTATAAACTGGGCCAAATATTTTTCTGAGCACTTTTCTTTCTGTTGTACATAACTTAGCGTAATCACCTTTCGTAGTAGCCCATGTTTCACAACCATATGTCAACACGGGTCTCAAGTAACTTGTGTATAGAGTTACCTTCGATTCTCTCGATAATAGCTTCGATCTAAATAGCTTAAGTAGGCTATAATAACATCGGTTCGCACTAGCTACCCGTTCTTTTATTTCTTCATGTACGTTGTTTTTGCTGTTTATGTTTATACCTAAGTATTTAAACGCCTCTACTTTTTCGAAGATATAAGGGTCTACTTTTAGATTTAAATCATTTCTGTCATTCCGTGAAATACACATGTATTTTGTTTTCTCTTGATTGACTTCTAGACCCATAATCTTGCCTGCTTCTAAGAATTTTATTGTGGTTTGCTTCACTTCGTTTCTAGAATTATCCAGAATTATCACATCGTCTGCATAAGCAAGGATGGTTTCAATTTCACCTACTTCCATTTTTCGAGTTTCCTTTGCTGTTCTCACTACCCATTCCAAAGCAATGTTGAATAGCACCGTTGACAATGCATCTCTTTGACGAAGGCCAGATTTTACTTCGAACTTTTCTGACATTTCCTGTTGGTATTTTACCTTCAAATTAGTCTTACTATTACACATCTTGATTAAATCTATATATTTCTGAGGAATATCTAGACACCTCAGGACCCTCCATAGCTCTTTTCTATTAATCGAATCGTAGGCTTGCTTAAAATCTATGAAAACTAGGTGTAGATCTTTATTGTATTCGTAGTGCTTCTCTGCTATTTGTCTGATGGTATGGATATGATCGACTGTTGATTTTCCTTTTCTAAATCCGCACTGGTATTCCCCCACGATCTCTGTTGCATATGGGTTTATTCGTTCCAGGAGAAGTGATGTAAATACTTTATATCCTGTGTCTAATAATGATATACCTCTATAATTTGAAACTAGCATTGGATCTCCCTTCTTGAAGATAGGACATAGTATTGCCGTATTTCACTCCTCTGGCATAGTTTCTCTTTTCCATACTTCACTAATAATCCCATGTAATGTGTTTATTAAATCTTTTCCACCCTTTTTTAGTAGTTCTGCTGGGATTTTGTTTTCACTCGGTGATTTGTTGTTCTTAAGTGTTTCTATTATCCTTGCTACTTCTTCCTGCTTAGGTTCTCCAATATCAGGTTCTACAGTGTAGTACGTCATTTCTTCGTTTGTGCTACCCTGTTCTTGTCTGTTTAATAGTGTTTCAAAATGCTTTTTGAACAGCTCTACTATTTCTTTTTTATCCGTGACTAATTCTCCTTTCTCATTTAATAGCATTTTTACTTGTGGTTTAAAACCTTCTTTAATTTGTTTGCTGTTTTCAAAGAATTTTTTGGGGTTTTTTCTGTTTTCTTCAATTTCTGCTATTTTTGCCTTCATATCAGTTCTTTTTTCTCTTCTTAATAATTTGTGGGTTTCCTTTCTCCAGTTTTCATATATGACTTTATTTTCTTCAGATGGATTTTGTAACAATTTCTTTCTAAGTTCAAAACGTTTCTTTATTGCGTCTCGACACTTATCATTAAACCATCGTCTTCCTTCTCGTTTTGGTGCATTTCCAATAACCACTGAGGCGCAGTCTGTTATGATTTGTTTTATTCGGTTCCATTGGTTTTCTATATCCTCAGTCGAATCCTTCCCATTGTTTTTTCTTATCTCCTTCTGTACTAGATTTTCATACTGTTTTGCTATTTCTTGGTCTCTAAGTATTTCAACATTGAATTTCGAGTTGTTCGTTTTTGATGATCGTTTCCATTTCGATGATAGTCTTATCCTGAAATGGGATATAATCAAATAGTGGTCGGTATCCGCATCTGCGCCTCTGTAACTTCTCACATTACTTATACAACTCATATGTTTTTTACTGATCATAACATGATCTATTTGGTTTTTGGTTAATCCATTTGGGGATACCCATGTGTGCTTGTGTATATCCTTTCGGGGAAAATAAGTACTACTGATCACTAACTCTTTTGACATTGCCATGTTTATTAATCGTGTTCCGTTGTCATTACTATATTCATGAAGACTTTCTTTACCTATCGTTGGTCTATACATAGTTTCCCGGCCAATTTTAGCATTAAAATCCCCTAAAAATACTTTGATACTGTGCCTAGGTAGTCTGTCATAAACTTCTTCTAATTCCTCATAAAATTTGTCTTTTTTTTCATCTTCTTTTTCTTCAGTTGGTCCGTAGCAGGAGATTACTGCAATCTCGAAATATTTTCCCTTTAAGAGTATATAACATATTCTGTCATTTACTGGTTCGAAGATTTTAACGTGTGGTAGTAAGCAATCATGTACTATGATGCCTAC